TATATATATATATATATATATATATATATATATATATATATATATATATATTTGAATATTATATTCCCATTTAAATCTTCTGTGGCTGTCACTGTGTTTGTATTCACAGCTCAAGTTCTGCCCTACTTGTGTGGACTGTGATTTTTAAATGTTAACTCTGTTGCCAGGATTCAAGTATTTTGGTCAGCCTGTGTTTCCTTGAGCAGGTATGCTTGCTCTGTACCATCCTTTGTTCTGTTCCTCTTTGGAGACTCTGGAGAATGAGGAAGCAAAGAGGGCCCATTGCAGGCTTTCTGACCAGAGCCAGGAGAGGCTGTGTGCTACATTCCCAGAGCTACCTCTTGGGACTGCGGTGTGGGTGAGCAGGGAGTCGTGCCAGGCAGCGGGGGCTGAGGGAGCTAGTCAGAGAAGACCAGTTGCCCAATCCACAGTGAATGTCTGGACCATGCTGGGCAGGCTGTGTTTGTTCATCAGTGTGTTTATTTAAAGATGCAGGTATTTTGGAAGGTTTGGGGTGTTTATTTAATAATGGAATTGTTTTTATAAATTAACAATAGCTACTTTATTCAGTAGCTTTTCTCACTAGTATATAAAGATATATTTTTTTGTTTTTGTTTTCTTTTTTGAGACAGGGTTTCTCTGTGTAGCCCTGGCTATCTTAAAACTCACTTTATAGACCAGGCTGGGTGTGCCACCATCACTAAGCTTAAAGATGTGTTTTATTTTTGGATAGCTAAGAGGATCATTCATTGCTGTGGACGTTTTGGTTTATGATATGTAAACATGTTTTTGTTAAAATTCCAAGTTGGGGATTTTAGTTTGTCCACACCTTTTAAGTGTGGAGCGTGGTCTTTGCCAGGTGGAATTAATTGACTTCTGAGGACTTTGAGGGGCATAAATATGACAGCCCAGAGGAAGAAGGCGCAGCTGCTTGGAGGTGGACTGCTTGCGCCTGGGAGTTTCTACTCTACTAAGGTTTCTACCTCATCCTGGAGATGCCCCCAGTTCAAGTTGTCTCTCTCAGTACTCTTTCCTTCCATTCTCCCTCCATCTGATCCCCACCCCTCCCTGCACCCCCTACCCATCTACCCTCATTGTCTTAATTTCTCCTTTCCAGGCAGAGTTATATTGTCCCTGCTTGAGATTTCCTTGTTACTTAGCTTCTCTGGGTCTGTGGATTATAGCATGGGTATCCTTTACTATGCGTTTCTATCCACTTATAAGTGAATACATACATACCACATTTGTCTTTCTTGGTCTGGGTTACTTCATTCAGGATAATTTTTTTTTTTCTAGTTACACCCGTTTGCCTGCAAATTTCATGTTTTGTTCTTTTAACAGCTGAGTAATACTCCATTGGGTAAATGTGCCACATTTTCTTTATCTATTCTTTGGTTGAGGGACATCTAGGTTATTTCCAGTTTCTAGCCATTATGAATAAGGCTGCTATGAACAAGTGTTGAGCAAGTGTTCTTGTGGTATGATGGTATATACCCAGAAATAGTATAGCTAGCTGGATCTTAAGGTAGACCGATTCCCAGTTTTCTGAAAAACGGCTATATTGATTTTCAAAGTAGCTGTACAGGTTTCTACTCCTACCAACAATGGAGGAGAGGGTTTCTCTGTGTAGTCCTAGCTTTCCTGGAACTCACTCTATAGACCAAGCTGGCCTAGAACTCAAAAATTCACCTGCCTCTGCCTCCCAAGTACTGAGATTAAAGATGTGTACCACTACTGCTCGGCTTGTTTTTTTGTTTTTGTTGTTGCTATTGTGTTTTGCTATTTGAGATAGGGTATCATGTATTCATGGCTAGCCTGGAGCTCATCATGTAGATCAGGCTGGCCTCAAACCCATAAGATCCTCGTCTCAGCTTCCCAAGTTTTGTGATTAAAGGTGTGTACCACTATTCCTGGCTTTCTCAACCCTTTTAAACAATACTGCAGTGAAAATTTTTGTATTGTGTGTAGGTGGGTACACATATGGTATATGTAAGTCATGAGTAATGTGTGTGGTATATGCTTGGTGTCTAGATGGTATGTACATGTGTTTAATGTGTATGCACATATATTTGATGCATGTGAGATATCTTTGTGAAGTGTGTGGTATATATGTGGTATAGGTATGGTGTAGGAAGATGTGTGTATTACATATGTATTGTGTGTATATAGTGTGTATGTGAGGCACATGTATCCTCTTAAGAATGCAGACCTAGAGCCGGGTGCAGTGGCGCACACCTATAATCCCAGCACTCAGGGAGGAAGAGGCAGGTGGATCTCTGTGAGTTCGAGGTCAGCCTGGTCTACAGAGTGAGTCTAGGAGAGCCAAGGCTACACAGAGAAATCCTGTTTCAAAAAAAACATAACAAACAAACAAATAAATAAAAAAGAATGCAGACTTGTTTCTGCTTGTCTCAGCCTGAGTGTGGCTCCTCATCTCTTAGGCGCTTCCTTCTCTTAGATTTGCTTGAAATGGCAAACCCTTCCTAAACTCTCTCTTACTATCCTGTTGTCTGGAAACATGGCTGTCTTGGCAGTGGCCCAGTGTCACAAGATGATTCCTGGCTCTCTGGCTACAGAACACTGAATGGGGCTCCACATAGCCATGGAGTTCCACCTGTAGCTCTGCAACTGACTTTTAAGTCAGTCTGTGCAAACACATGTCCAACCGTTTGGACTTATGCAGCTGATAGTTTCTGAAAGCTGTTCCTGGGGTAAGGAGCAGAGAAGAAACCAGGCATTTGGAAAATTCCCTTAAAGGAGACAGGAGGCTCCGGCCTGAAGATGGGTCTGTTTGTGTCAGGGTAAAATGGAAGGTCGGGGGTGAGAGGGACATTGTAGAGGAGGAGGACTACCAGTGGCCAGGGACAGTGCCACAGGAAACCCTCTGGTTAAGTGGGTACATGTCTACCAGGTACCGTGAGATGTGCTTAGCTGCCTTCATGGAAGCAGGAAGGATATACTCCAAGAGGGGAATTTTATATTAGAGAACTTGTACCAGGATCTTCTCTAAAGGATAGCAAAAATAAAAATGTCCTGGGTCTTATACTTAGTAGGGCCCTGGGAGGAGGTCTAGGCTCTCTGGGTGTCTAGGTGAGGCAGTAGGGAACCCTTGGGTATCATACCTCGGGGAGGCTCTGCCTCTTTTGGTTTCTCCTACAAGCATTCTTTCTGGTGTCATCCCAGGACAATCCTGCCTCTGCCCCAGAATGACCTTCCTTATTTAGTCTCTGATTTCTTTGGGTCTGAAAACCCCATGTAGATAAGAGATGGTAAAAGAATGTTTGTTCTTTTCTGAGCTTACCATTTCTAGATTAAAATACAAAGCCAAAAACTATGAAAAGCAGTAAGTCCTCTGGGCATGGTAGTATGTATACCATTAAGACGGGTGGATCTGAGGCCAGCCTAGGCTATATAGTGAGGCTTGGGTGGGAATGGGTGGTGGGTGTGCTCACATCTGCCAGAATGTTTCTCAGATTTTCTTGCTCCTTGAATTCCCAAGCTCTAGAGGGTCAAGATAAATTTTAAGTGTCAACATCAGTTTTGCTGTTGATCCAGGGCCTGCTTTAGTCTGTGAGACTGAAAATAGATCCTGGTTCTACTGGGTGGCACCCTGCATCATATGAACCATGAAAGCTTTTGCTGGTGGCTCAGCCTTCCAAGTTGATTCCTGGTTCTGTGCCTCCAGGTCACCAACTTGGACTTTATACAGCAAGCAGCAAATGGGACATGGGGAACCCACCTGGCAACTTATCCACGGTGGCAGCAATGCCTGTGTCTGAGGATGTGCCCCTCACTGCCTTTGCTCTGGAGCTCCAGCACGCCATCAGTGCCATTGGTAAGCCTCACAGAGATCCTGAAGGTAAAAGCCATCAGCTCCTCTGGAGCTGCAGGCTGCACTCATACTGGGGTTGGATCTTGAGCCAGGAGAAGCTCTACTCTAAGGGAACTCTCTACACTGAGGGATATTCAGACTCTGAGATCTGCTTGGGCATAGAATATACAATAGTGTATAATGTGCTAGAAATCCTTAAGATAGGGGCCCTCAAAGATATTATTAGGGTCCTCTGTATAGATATCCCCCTCTGTTATATGGCCATGTTTTTGGTTTGTGAGCCTGCTAGGAGTATATGCCAGCACTCTGTTGGGGTGGGTGCTGAGTTAGATGGCCATGGAGTTTTCTGACCTGATGGAAGATGGCCTTAGTTGGTACCAGGTAGATTTAGTAGAGGGATGGTTAGAACAAGACCACTCTGTTGGCAGCTGGAGTATATTAGTTCCAGGATGAAACCCAGAGGTAATCATCAGGAAGAAGCTGTTAAATTTTAGAGCCCAGGGTTGGCAGGATGGCTCAGCAGTTATACATGCTTTACTTCAAGCCTGATGACTTAAGTTTGATACCCAGTTACCTACATGGTGGAGGAAAAAACGGTTCCTACAAGTTACCTGATTTCCATACTCATGTGCACACCCCCCAACAAATAGATAGGTGGATGGATGGATGGATGGATGGATGGATAGATAGATAGATAGATAGATAGATAGATAGATAGATAGATAGATA